ATGTCTTAAAGTGTATGTCACAAGGTACAATATATTAAAATTTTAAGGTTTATTAAATAAAAATCACATGAGATATTCACTATTGTTTAATTGTTAGCTTTTTCCACCAAAACTGTATATAAAAATGCTAATAAAATTGTATTATAAATTATATAAAATCAGATTACAAGAAATTTTTGACTAAAATTAAAAGCTTAATGTATTTTAATCTAATAATATCAAAAATTAAAAATCTTAATTTTATTAAAAATTTCTAAAATCTGATTTTTTTAGCAATTAACTCATATAGAAAGATTATTAGAAAAATGAGATTCTAGAAATTTTTTTTTTTAACTAAAATAAAATCTTATTACATTTTAATCTAATAATATTAAAAATTAAAATGCAATAAAATTCAAAATTTTATTAAAAATTCCTAGAACCTAATTTTCTTAGCAAATATCCCATATGATATAATATCTGTAATTTAATATTAATACAAAATTTTTAACTAAAAAATAAATTAAAATAGAATTATTATAATAAACAATTAAAATATTTTTTATTTATTATATTATATTTTATTCTTTATTATTATATAATTTTATAAAATTTAAAGATAAATAATTTAAAAATAATTTTATATAATCTAATAATTAAAAATAAAATAATGTGTAATTCAAAGTAATTTAATATAATTATAATAATAATAATTAATTATGATAGTTACATATATTATATATATATTTAAAAAAAGGTAAAAATATAAAAAATATAATATATACTTTTTAACATTAAAATATAAACTTGATTTCAATAAATTAAATCTTAATTTATTATTAAAATTGCAATTCTTATACTATATTTTATTTTATTAAATAATTAAGAGTATTATTGAGATCTTTTTTTTTTTTATAAATAAAAATATATATTAATTAACATTTTTTTTTTCATATACAATTATTACCTTAAATAAATATCCTATTATGTTTAAAAATTCATTTATAGAAAATTAAGTAATTATATCTCTCTACTCTTTATTTGCTATTATACAATGTCTCTATAACATATTTTAATGTTTTATAATTACAAAATAATTTTTTGTGAGAAGAGTTAATATACACAAAAAAATCGTTTATTTTTTTAATCACTTCTTGAAGAGCCACCTTCCGTATATTGTCTTTCAATTTCTCTTTCAAGTTCTTCATTTTTAGCGGATAATTTTGAAATCCAATCTGTCATTGTATCTACTGATGTTTTATGGCCATTTTTTTCTTCTGCCAAATTTTCCTAATATAAAATAATAACACTATCAACAAATATTTTTTTTAAAAAAAAACTTTTTTTATAATCATTTACCTTCATTTTATCTAATTCGTTTTGTAATTTATTAATTTCTTGTTCAGCTCGCAACTTATCACTTTCAGCATCTGCCAACTTAGCTTGCATAATCTTTAAACCTTTATATAATCGAACAGATTTGCTATCTGCCATCTGAACCTATAAATTATAGAGGGTAATATATTTATAAAAATACTTGAACATTTTTTTTTTAAAAAATTTAACGATTTATCACCAACCTGCTCGTTTAATTGTTTTATTTGACATTGATAATTATTCTTGATTAGTTCTTCGCGTTGCTTAGCATCATCTTCAGTTTTCCGCTAAAAATAAAAATTAATCAAACAAAAAGTTCAATACTATAAAATTATAAAACAAATTAACATAATATTAATTACTCACGCTCATGTCATCGCGTCCTAAAGCGAGGAAACGTGCTGTTCCATTGCTGGTTTCATTATCATCATCCTGGATAGATTTACCACAATGCGCACACAATCCATTTGATGTTGCTAATTGTAGTGTTGATTCTTCACTAACAGGTGTTCCACCACTTTCTTTCTCAGGTAGATAAACAAATACATCTGACTAAAGACGAAAAAGATATTAATTTAAATACCAAACATAATGCAATTCAAAGTATCAACTTCTGTAGAAGAGCTACCTCTCCTTCTTCTTCACTGTCATCTTGATCTCCAAATATTAATTCAGGAGTTCCGTCTCCCTTTACGTTTGATCCCATCTGGAATGAATCGTTTTGTGACGTTGGCTTCGACTTAGTTCCTAAATTCATTGTACAAAACGTCAATGCTAATCTCAGTATTTTTTTTTTTTTTTTGATGACTTCATTTGAAATAACGTACCATCGAACTCATTTAAATATAATTTAGGATTATCAATGCCATCATCCGGTTTGGTACTATCTTTTTCTGAGAACGACTGATGAACTTGCTCATTATCTAAATTCTGTGAACAAGTATTTTGTAATTGGCCTATTTCCGATGTAACACCATCGGAAGTTAACTAAAAGAATAGATGTATATGTATTTAATTTGTCATATAATTATTGAGATATATATTCAGATCACCAGAAAATATATACCTTTTCCAATTCTTCCTTTAGAGTGGAAATTTCTTTTTCTAATGCTGCGACTTTATTTGAGTCGTTTTCATTAGTTTTGATGAGTAATTCATTTTCCGATGTCAACTCAGTTATTCGATCTGAACATTTAAAATAAGCAACGATTCCGTAATAACTGTTATTATTATTGTATTTATGCATGAATGAACTAAATATTATACATACTTTGAGCAGAAGCTAATTTAAACGCAAATTTATGCAAATTTTTTTGCCATGTTAGACTCGCATTTTTTACTTTCACACCTAACTCATAGGATGAGTCTGACTAAAAAAGTTTTGAGGAAAAAAAAAAATTAGAATAAAATAAAAAATTTTTTTTCCCAATCAAAATAACTCTTACATCATCTTTAAGAGCATTCAAATATTCTCTAGTACTGGATTGTAATTGCTTAAAGCTTGCAATTATCTCGTTAGATTCAGAATCAAAATTTTCACTTAAAGCCTAATGTGATCGTAAACAGAATAAACGAATTAAATACTTTACAGAATATCACTCATTTGACGCCAACATTACTAACATTGAATTGTTCAGATTGAGTCTCATCTGCTAAGCCAAGATTAATTGAAAGAGTTTGTCTGAGTGCAATTAACTCAAAACGCAATGCATCATCACCCTCTTTCAATTTTTGTTCATTTTTTTCCATAAGAGCCTTCGTTCTATAATTGAAAAAGTCGACCGTTACACAACGCACGAACACAGATTTAGGAAAATTATGATACACGTACATTCGTAGTTCTGCTCTTGTCTGATCTAATTCAATCTCAACATCTCTTTTTTCTTGACGAATTATACTTAGAGCCTCTTCACTTGCTTGGTGTGATGTTGTCAAATCCATCTAAATTTGATGAAATAAAATTTTTTTTGATCATAATTTAAACAAAACTATTTTCATCATAATATTCCGAATGAATTCATTAAATCTACCTGAAGTTCTTCGGTCTTACTCTCAAAATCAGATATTTTCGTTTGAAGAACGTTAACGTGCTGAGTGTACAAACTGTTCACTTCAAAAAGTTCTTTATGTAACTTTTCTGTATCATGAAATAATGTCAATTTAAATATTCTCTTTGATAATCAAAGCATAGGTAGTTACACAAATACATCTTTAAAATTGTACCATTTTCTTCAATCTTTCGAGATAACTCTTTTGAGGTAGTTTCAAGGGTAATCTTTGATTTTTCAAGTTCTTTCTTCGCTGAACCCAACAACCAAGGAGACATCCTCTAGTTGATGAATAAAAAAAAAAAGGAATGATCAACGTTTGATAAGATAAAATAAATTAGGACAATTAAAAATATTAAATTTCTTACCGAATTTCCTGAATCCTGTAAACTTTCAATACGTTTGGTCAAACGTTGGTTGTGAAAGGTTAAAAGATCAAGTTGTTGAATTGACTACATTATAGTTTTAGGACAAGAATTAATTAAAAGTCTTACACGATTTGCCATGATTAACAAATAATTAACAATAATTAATCGTAATAACGCACTGATCGCAATTTCTGTTCTTTGGTTTTACATTCATCTTGTAACGTATTCTTTTCCGATTGTTCCTGTATAAAATCCACGAATTAGGGAAATTTCTCACTAACATGATCTTAATTCTTGCATCTTATCAAACCTTTATAACGGCCTTCTTAAGGACCGAATGCTGTGCTTTTATTCTAATTAAACGGTAAGTTAGATGCAATGAAAAGAGATTTCGTTTAAGAGGAAACTTCAAGATTAACACTTACCGAGAGAATTCTAAGAATAACTTTTGATACTTTTCAGCCAATTCTTCAGCAGAAGTGGCACCTACTAAACAAGTATTTACAGCACAAAAGTTGAGGGGAAAAAAAAGTTAGAAAACCTTATGTTTAAGAATAGTACCAGCGAGTACAGATAAAAGTAGAACCTGAGGACTGAAGTGATGTGGAAGTGGATAATCGATCGCTATTCATTGCAAAGTATTGTTAAGGTGAAAATTATTTTTAACAAAAAATAAAAAAAAAAGGTAAGGTGTGAGAGTATATCAGAGAATTATAATCTTTCAATACGTTGACGAATGAACCGCAGTATCATGTGCCGATCAGGCACAGTTCACATGAGCAAGCAAATTGGACAACTTCTACTCGACTTTTGGAGGTGAGGTAACAAAATTTGCCTTTAACAATCGAAAGATTTGTATATAAGCATATAAAGCAATAGGTTTACTTTTTTCAGCCGTATTCAAACAAAGGTGAAACCCAATTCTTTTCACAAGCTTGGTGACTTTTTTTAAACAATGGTTGTTTTTGTTCTTAAGGGTGCTACAAAGTATTGTTACAATCTCTAATGCGGTGATTTGATAACGGAAAAAAATGATAAGAAGTGTAATTACGAAACTTATTTGGTATTGATTTAAATGTATGAAATCATTGTTTTTTTTTTCTTTTGGTTCCCTAAAGATAACAATGTCTTCTTTTAAGATCGATTCTGTAAATTGAACAATTCTTCCAAAGAAGTTTTTAAGTTAAATTTAGATGTACGGCAAAGATTATTCTTAATGGGTTTTGCTATTTTTCATGAACCATTGTCCCTTTTGTCCCTTGCAGAAGCACCACATCTGATACCAACCATATTGGAATTATTTATACATTCACCGCAGTCATTGTGTTACCATCATAATTCTGCCCAGTCCTAAGGGTGAAATTAATGCGAGAAAATAAAATTAGTGTTAAAAGTTTTCAAGAGGGTAATAATGAGATTTTACCGGGGAAATGGGTATTGTTTGTGATGATTAAATATTTGTATCTTACATGCATGTCAAATTTGTTGACTTTGGCAAACGTATCTCTACTTTGAGGGTTTCATGGTTTGAATACGCTGTTGTGTATCGTTATATCTAGCATCCAAAGGAAAGACTAGGTTGCAGATACGCGTCTATACTACCACCAGTAAACGTTTTGAGTCTTGAAAATGAAAAAAAAAAATTGATAAAATAAGGTCAATTCTTTTCTTTTAGATATCGCGTCTAAAAAAAAAAAAAAAACTTTGCCCGCTCGCGTCGTAGACGATGATTTTAACATGATCACGTGGATTTAACTTTTCCCCGTGTTCAAAAGATTTGCGATGATCCACCAATATTACCATAGCTCCTTTTCAACATCCGGTATAATCTGCATAAGACTTTTTCGTATTTCAAGTATGTGTCAAGAAAATCGGAAAATTTTGCAATTCGCAGATAATTTCAACGAATTTTTTGTCATTACAAGTTTTTAATCTATCAACCGACCGATGGTAAGATTTTTTACGGTGGCACAAACAAAATTTGATGGTGATTGATCAACTTGATTTTTTGTGTTCTGATGACTGAAAAAAAAAAAAAAAAAAATTTTTTTTTTCTATTTGAAAATTCATTTTTAATAATGTCGGACAATATTGCCCATGCTATTAGCGGTATGTAATAATTAAACGACCTAGATTTTTTACCATTATTGACTGAATATTCTTGAATCTTTAGGTGCCGGTGGTGGTATCATATCTATGATTTTGACTTATCCATTGATTACAGTTAGTTCTCGTCTCCAGGTGCAAAAAGACACAAAAGAAAGCGATGCATATAAAGTAATTTTTTATTTATAATATTCAGTTCATTTGAAGATATCATTTTTATTAAGTTCAATTCCTTAGGGAGGATGGGATGCTGTCGTCAAGATTTTTAATAATGAAGGCATTAGTGGGTTATACTCGTAAGGATTGACCTTTTTAATATAATTTTATTTGTATTATTTTGATCCATAGGTCGTGCGTTTATACAACATTTCTGATATTTTTAATACAGAGGGTTAAATTCTGCCATATTCGGGATTGCAGTGACAAATGGTATGTGTATTCACTCTCTTTGCGAAAAAAAAAAAATTTGATGTATTAATTCAGTTTTCCTCATTAGGAATTTACTATTATTTTTATGAGACTACAAAGAAAATGTTTGAAAAAGGCAACCGTCCAATGTCGGTCGTGGAATCCATAATGGCTGGAACAATAGCCGGTTCAGCTACAGTCTTGGTCACAAATCCAATTTGGGTGGTGAATGTAAGTTTTAAGTGAATGATTAAATTAAATCCAGTATTTTATTTTATTTTATTTTTATTTTATCCTCCTCATGAATTTTATTGAAAAAAAGGCTAAACTTGAATTAATTTAAGACTCGAATGACGACACGCAAAGTATCTTTGGATGAAGATGAGAGCGAAAAAACAAAACCAAAAAAGTTGGGAACCATCGCGACGATCTTGAAAATTATCAACGAAGATGGGTTTAAATCTTTCTGGCAAGGTATCATCCCTGCCCTCATTTTGGTGATTAATCCAATTATCCAATACACCGTATTTGAACAAATAAAATCTCGAATAGAAAAAATGAAAAAGTTGGGAAATTTGGACTTTTTCCTATTGGGTGCCATTAGTAAACTTGTCGCTACCGGTTCTACTTATCCTTACATGTAAGTTCAATATAAAAAAAAAAAAAATTTTTTTTTTATTTTATGATTCATGATGATAAGAAAACAATATATTTACTTTCCTCCCCCTTTTGGTAATGAATTGTAGCGTTATTAAATCACGCATGCAGTTACGTCAATCTTCACAAGAAAGTGCACGTTACAAGAGTACATGGGATGGGCTTCAAAAGATTATTGCAAATGAAGGTTATGGGGGTCTTTACAAGGGGATCACATCAAAATTACTTCAATCTGTTTTAACGGCTGCATTTTTGTTTATGTACAAGGAGGTTTTGTTCAAGTACACCGTTGCATTTTTGGCATTACGGAAACGCGTTATCTGAAATCATCGGTTCATGGCCAAAATTCAGGTTGGGTGACATAATTTTACCATTTATGGTAATGTTCGTCATAACAAGACGAATTAAGAATAAATTAAACTATAACGAAATTCGCGAAATGGTTTGGGGAACATGATAATTTTTAAGGAAAAGATATTGCATTATCGCAACATGCATTCAATCCCAATTTATAAATTCCATTGTTCTTAATCTCTCATTGCTAATGATCTTTTAAGGTACTCTCATCGGTTCAATGGTACTCAGACATGGAAAATCATTTGATGATGATGATGAAATGATGGAATTATATATATATATATATATATTTTTTATCTCTGTAAAACAAAATCCACAAATATTTTTTTTTTTATGTTTGAAAGATTTCTTTAAAATAAAAAAAAAAAGCGGGGAAGAGTTACGGAATATGCGACGCTAAAAAGCGTGTGATCAAAAAACTAGCTCATGAAATCAATTTTCAACCGGAAATTGCATAAAGTAAGGAATCATTTATGGCATGGATTAACGAGAGATAAATATTGCGTTATTATCATTTTTTTGTATGCAGATGTTTTTTACTCACGATAAAGAACCGTACCACAGATTTATACATAAATGGATAAACGAGTCATAGATATATATTAAGTAATTAAAAATTAAATTAAATTTTTAATGATAACAAGATACTTATTAAATTTAATTTTAAAAAAAAAAATTTTTTTCTTTCTTTTTTTTTTAAAGCCACAAGACCGTGCATAAAAGCATTTGATAGTTTTTTCTCGATCACAAAATCTATGTAGTGTAACTTTGCAGATTCTTTACAATTTTGGGAGGGGAGAAAGATTCATTTACCCGAAACAAGTTTTCCAAGGGAAAATGAATCAACGCTGGAGGAAGTTAGATGAACAATGACAAAAATATCAGGGTACGAAGAAAGGTCAAAAGGTCAAACGATAAGGTTAATAGTATGTAATCTTCACATAAATCTATCGTGTCATAGTTTCTTTCACGTAACCAATCATCATTTGATAATCATGAAAATTTTTTTTTTTGTTTTTACCAAATATTTACCATGGGATAAAAAAAAAAATTGATTATATTATATTAGATCGTGAATTTATGCAGGATTAAATGTTTCGCGCATAACTATTAAGGAGTGAATGCCTTGTGTAAGATCGTTCGGAAGGTTGAGAAACCATTTCGTCAAAAGTTGTCAAAATCGAAATCAAAATCGAAAAAAAAAAAAATAATAATAAAGGTTCGTCGATAAGCTTTCCATTCCACTTTTTTTTAAATCATGGCAATTTTTTTTTTTTCTTTCCTGGTAACCGTAAAATTAGAATCAAGATTTTTTTTCAAACAATCAGTAAACATTGAAACGTAAAAGGGAATTATTATGAAGATAAAAAGCAGGTTTTTGAAATTGGTGAGATGTTTGACAGGGTTTCATTTGTGTAATACGGGAATGTGGCGCATGGTTTGGAATTTACTAAATTTAATCACCTATTATTTAATATTATTAAATATACATATGTACTATAAAGTAAATTTTTCGGATGGAACCAATCTTATGATTTCGGTCACAAAAAAAAAAAGCTTTACTGAAAAATCAAAACTTTAGCAAATTAAGGTCTTTAGCTTTTCCACACGTTCACGCATTCACGCATGAAGCTTTACACATTATACAACATTCCACAATCAGGTTCTTTATAACAGATGCAATGTTACATGACAAACCTTATATCGTCTTAAATAATTACAAATCACGATGATATTAAAAGTACGCGCGCACCAAATAAAGAAATCGTCTGTCATCATTCTACGGACATAAGTCGGATGAGGACCGAGAGATCTTGATTTCCTGTGAGGATTAAAGCACGTGACATGAGAATACAACCTTGTTTAAGAACTTCAACATGTTATTTTCCAATTGAACGCTTTTTGTTGAAAAGGTTCTTTTGATCTCTCTTCTCGTTGTGCGACGCTACGGTTACCTTTTCGGTAAATTTCATAGGTATCATACCTTTTTTTGAAATATTTCTCCGATAAGTTCAATAGAATCTCATTTTTCTGTAGATGCATATCGGGAGTGAAATCATTTATTTGTTCCTGTATAGAATATTATCTTAGATTTATCAATAAT